ATTTTTACCCGATCGGTCGATTTGTTTTGGTTTGAAGTTAGTTGACATGAAAGTGTGACACTCAAACAAAAACAAACCTAAGACCTCAGTGTGTTCAGTTTATTTCTCTGACTTTAACCCCCTAATGCGCTCCTCATTACTTTCTCTATATATATATTTCGTAGTTAAAATGATTCATTAATATCAATGACCCTAGAAATAAAACTAAAAAGCAAATAAGTCTTCTTCTTCGAAAATATGCTACCAGCTCATGAAACTCGATTCGAATAAATGTGGCTCCATTTCTTGTGAAGATTGAATGAACTCTTTGCATTTTTTTTTTACTTAAAAGAAGAAAATTTGATCTCTCTCATATATATATATATATATATATATATATATATATATGCGTGTGTTTCTCTTATTTTTGCTTTCGAAATTTTATTAGTTGTAAGAGAGAGAAAAAAAAATCTCTTTCCATACAAATATTTGCTCGTCCTAATATCACGGAAAAAAGTAAAATTTACATTTGTAAATCTTTATTTGATACAGTATTTCTGATCTAGAAATAAATTTGTTCCCGATGCCTGAAAGTAATTGTATATGCAAATTTCACCAACACCAATTCTCTTGGGGCTCCCCTGTGTGATGTAATAACAAACTGATGTCGCTAATTATTAAAACTTGAGTAGTGAGTTCGATCCATGCCAAGTGCCCCATATATGTGGATTTAAACCCCCAAAAGTCAAGCTGTGCAAATAACACAAGTTCTACTGATTTCAAATTGTAGCATTTGTCTATCAAAAATAAAAAAAAAATAATTTTCAGGCTTTTCTTCAACGTTTTCAATAAATACCTGCTTTTTCTGTTTTTGTGTTAAATTCCTTCTTCGCCGCGTTTTTAACTTTGCGCCTACGGAAAAAAAAGTAAAAAGTGATTTTGAATTTATCGAAAAAGAAATATGGCCGCGCATCCCAAGAAACGCCGTCAGGTTTAATTGTGCGTAAGCAAAACACTAGTTTTGTTTGTCATTTATAAATGTAGGCAGGAGATACAATAGACTTCATCAAGGAAAGTATTGAGTTTGTATAAACCCGTTTGGATTTATTTGTGGAATTGTAATTTTTCTCATTAACAATAATTTTGTTCCTGTCATCAAGATATTATTACTGATTAATATCGACATCAATAATAAACATTACCATTATCGTGGTTATATTTATATTTTGATTAATATTGAAAGTAACCTGACCATCATTTTTATAAATGTCTTCAGCTTTATTTCCAAATGAGACGGAGGCCCGAAAGAGCCAAAACAATCCTTTTTTTCCTAACAGCTAATCACTGCAAGTTCTGTTTTTTTGTAAGTTTAGAACAACGAACAGTTATCTATTTCTATTGACTGATGATAACTGAAGCTGGTAAGATGCTTTTCTTTAATTGTTTTTCTTTTAGTAAATTGAAATTTGAAAAATGTTCTGAAATCCTGTAAACTTCTCGGATGTTTCATTGCTTGTCTCATTTTTTATTCTTTTTTTAGAATCAACACACACACTACCTGATATAATTTCGTCTTCAGTTCAAATATCCGTATTAATATTGACATTCTTTTTCTCTTTTTTTTTTTTTTTTCTTTTTTTTTTTTCTTAATCCTACCATCACCGACGTCATCAGTAAAGTCTGCATTGCCAAGGTGTCGTTGGTAGCCATTCTTCGTCCTCACCGTTCCATCATTACTGGATTCGTAAAATATACAAACTTATCTATTAGTAATATTTTTACATGAACTTTTTTTCTTGTCATAAATAAATTTCAATTAAAAGTTGCGTAACAGAAAGATACTTTTTTTTTTCGATTTGCCAGCAATTTCGACGCTGATGGCTCCCCCTACCACCACCACCAATTATACGTCTTTGATTTTATAAGTAAAATATAAATTAATCAAATATTACACAAATTTACGGTCTTTCTTTTTAATTGTCGAAATCAATTTGATTTTCTGACACTACAAACCCCACTGCTTCCATTTTAGAAAATTTATTTTATTGACATTTTCAAGTTTTCAAAATTGACGCTGCTATGGAGGTCGATATTTTCAATTTTTTTTCTTTTAATTTTTCTTTTTAATCACACAACACGAATTCACTCCAAATTCGTTTTGTTTCGGCTAAAAGAACTTTTGAAAAGTGGCGTCGTCTGTTTTACAGTTGGTCAGTTGTAAAGTTTTATTAACTTCTGCATGCAACATTGCGGCATTTTGTGTTTTGACAGTTTCATTAGTATCGCACTCTCAATATTATTAACCCTCCATCCCCCTCTCTCTCTCTCTCTTCCTCCCTCTCTCTCTTCCTCCCTCTCTCTCTTCCTCCCTCTCTCTCTCTTCCTCCCTCTCTCTCTCTTCCTCTCTCTCTCTTCCTTCCTCCTCTCTTCCTTCCTCTCTCTCTCTCTTCCTCCCTCTCTCTCTCTCTTCCTCCTCCCTCCCTCTCTCTTCCTCCCTCCCCTCTCTCTCTCTCTTCCTCCTCTCCCTCTCTCTCTTTCCCTCTCTTCCTCCCTCTCCTCTCTTCCTTCCTTCTCCCTCTCTTCCTTCCTTCTCCCTCTCTCTTCCTTCCTTCTCTCTCACTATTATTAAACTTCTCTCTCCAACTTTCTCCTCACTCACTCTCACATATACACCAATTATTCTTTTCAGTATCGTTGTTAGGAATGTTGCCTGTCGTCCGTTGTACATCAACTATAAAATCCTGATGACACTGCATCATGATTATTTCCAGATAGTGACTGCTTTCTCTATTTGAATAAAAGCCTTATTATTATTTGTTATTGGAGAAAGATAGAGAGATTAAAACAGAAGCCCTGGTGTAAATTGTGTGTGTCTAAAAGTTTGTTTCCATGCCAACTGCTCGACGGAAGCTTCTCGAATGCACTCCCCTCTCTCTCTCTCGCCTCCAGCTGACGCCATAACACGTCACTATCAACCAGGCAACACCATTGTCGTCCCGAATTTGCCGGGTTAGCCCTCTTGAAAGATTTTAATCGACACTGACATCAAAAAATGGTTTGCGATAAATTATGTCGACAAGTGGATGGGGTGAGGTGGATCAGATCGCTGTAGTTGGGGTCTCCTCACGATAAAATTGAGTATGTAACTGAGCTTGTCTTATGCAACGATGCTACGGTTTGGAGTTCGTGCTTGGGTTAAGAAAAAAATTTGAATAATGACTTTCAAGTCATACTGGAAAGCATTTCCCCATACAGCAGATGGCGCAACACAATCTTATCCGAATCATATTTAAATAGTTCAAAATGCAAATTACAAATCGGGGACATCAAAATGTGTTTTAACATGAGAGGGAAAATGCGACACTGAATCCATGGCGCATTGGGACAGTCAAAAATGCATTCCAAAAGCTAAACAGAGTATTAAGAAACAGAAACATTTCTTTTGAAACAAAGAAAAGAGTACTGAACAGATATCTATCTTCCTGTATGGCAGTGAATCCTGGACAATCTCTTCAAAGAAGATACTTGAAGCAATATAAATGTGGTTCTACAGAAGGATGCTGAGGACACCATGCACCGAATATGTGAGTAACGACGAAGTTTTAGAGAAAGTGGAAACAAAAAGGAAATTTATACTATCAAGAAAAGATAGTTGAAATTTCTGGGGCACGTAATGAGGAAAGAAGGCGCGGAAAATCTAATACTCACAGGACAGATTCAAAGCAAGAGGGACAGAAGAAAACAACGCATAACATACTTAATGAGCTTGAGTAAATGGATGGCGGAAGAAAATTTAGGAGAAATAAAGACAAAATTTATTACGAGCTAAGGACAGGAAATTGTAGAGAGCTATGATCGCTTACGTCCTGAAGGAATATGGTACATAAAGAAGTTTTACTCTAAAGTTGTACTAAACGAGAGTTTCGTTTTATTTAACTCTGTAATTTGGTATAACCGGCTGCTTTGGTTGATGTGCATTCATTCGCCCACACGAATGGAATGGGACAAAAGGCCGTGTTTTAATTAGGAATCCCCACGTATACATGGGACCAGGGGCCAAAAATAGCTCAGTCCGCCTCGTCATTTCCATTTTTAGGGACGCCTTAGGCGCTAGGGATTAACCTAGTCCCCTTCTCGTTGCTTTGATGAGTCATTCATGAAGTAAAACACCTGTTCATTATTGTCTCCATTTCTTGTTCGTCGTAGTTGTCTTATTAGAAACATTTTAATGTCTGTTTTGGTGAACCAAAAAATGCTTAGAAGAATAAAATGCTTGAGTGTTGCCAACCTCACAATATTTCAAGGACTTTGCGTGTTCCATCGGCGGGAAGTAAATTCCTCTCAAACAGCTTCTTCCCAAGAAACAATTCCCCTACAGAACAGACTCTCAAGAGAATGTTTCCCCGATGATTGCAATCTTAACCTGTTAGTCTAGAGTCAACTATTATCTTACTCTCCTATACATATAAAGTACCCCCTTAACTTAACGTTCTACCTCGAGTGGACCCCCAGCCTTATACAGAGTGAACCTTATTGTAAATAAATATATATATATATATATATATATATATCATGTAGCAGTTGATTTTTCTCCTCTTCTCTAGTTGCTTGCATAATACATTGAAGAATGTAAAATAAAACAGCAGAGATGTGCATCCGTTGCCTTCCAATCACTTCTGGGTCGATTACAAAATGTTCATCCATGCGAATCTTTTGTTGTTTAACTTCATCACCCAAGCAACAAACACGTAATACTTTTTGTCCGCTGAATGTCGCCAACGACCAGAGGACAATTTCCGAAAGGTCATTCCATTCCTTGAACGTGAATTGAAATGCGTTGACAACGGTCAGGTGTTTAGTTGTTGAAGAACATTTTGGGAGACCTTACACGTTCATTACACCTCTGGAATCCTTGCTGTCATATCATGTTAGAAACCGCGTACGATCACCGAATTTAAGCAACATCGGGCCTGGCCAATACCTAGATGGGTGATCTTGGATGTGCGAGTGGTATAAAGGGGTTACGGCCACATCACTTTAAACTACCGGTTCCCGTACGATCACCGAACTTAAGCAACGTCGAGCTTGATCAATACCTAGATGAGTGACCACTTGGAAATAAGTGCTGTAAGCTTAGATGTGTGGGTGGTGTAATGATAATGGCTCGAATTGTTAATCGGAGAGCCGAGTTCCAATTTCAGTTGGTTTCGTTATATTCACTTACTTTCAGGTTTTTTTTTTTATTCAACCCACACAAGGTGATAATGCTACTAAGACACAAGGGGCTGGTGAAAGTGAATGAGACGACTTTAGAAGGAACCGGAAATCAATCCTAAGCAGGAAACAAGGGATAAACCTCTACTCCTGTTCAAAATACTGAGGAAGATTGTGAACCGGACGATAGATGACCCTTGTGAAAGATGATTCCACCTCTACCCTCTCCCAGCTGTGAGTTGATTAGTAAAACTTGTATCACTAAATCATATTATATCCCCACCCCCAAAGAAAAACAATTCTGCAAAGGGTTGATAAAGCGTAAAAAACGAATCACGCAATCAAATACTGATTATATATACAGGCATGTCTTTTAGATTTGTTTAAATTCTCTGGAATATAAACGTATAGAAACTACAGTGGCAACATTGAAGCTATAATGTCGCTTTTATTCGTTTTGATGGCTTGAAAACGATTTCCTTTCTTTGTGCATTTTCCATTATGTTTTGGCATTTAGAGACAAAGTGGAATTAGCGCTAAAGAAATTGAGAACCTCTAGTTACCCAACTTGCAATGCCATTGGTTGCTTATGAATAATTTATCAGGCAACCTTTTTTTTGAAGATAAAACAGCCAATGATATATATGAATTTTAAAAATGCAAAAAAATAACCCAAAACACATTAAAGACAAATTTTTTTTCAAAAACTTTCAAAATTTTAAATTCCCAGCCTCTCTCTTTCGTGCGCATGTGTAGTCGCGTCAACGTAAACAAACCTCGTCCGATGAAGTCCTAAGGGACGAAACGCATAACACGAAAACTTTTTCTACTTTGTCATACATCTTTCCAACATATATAATATATAAAAGTGGACATTGAAGTCAACACCCAGCGGCGACACTCTTTCATGCTTATATACAATCGATGGCCTGATTATTGCGTTTAAGTATGAAACAAACTGTCGCCGCTGGGTGTTGAATTCAATGTCCACTTTTATATTTACATACGCTCTATCCATGATATTGAGCACTTTAACCCATAAATGTAGCATGTCATAAAACTATATTTTATATATATGTGTGTGTGTGTGTGTGTGTCAAATATTCTGTTCGTCTTGAAATGCGTTAAATTCTAGTAATATTAAGTATTTCGGTAAGTGCTATTAATTATTGATTTGTATGTATGTTTGTGTATGTATGTGTGTGTGCGCGCGCGCACTCCTTTTTCTTTCTCCCACACCTCCCTTCAATAATGTAAATCCCCAGGAAATTTTTTCTAGCACAAGTAATTTAGACATTCACTTCCTGTTCTCTTGAGATTTACGTTTAAAATAATTTTTAACATACTGTCTGAATGCATTTAAACCATTTTGTAACTTCGGTCTGATGAGGCAGATATTAAAAACTTATCTGTCGAAATAAATGTATTACCGAATTCTTCGATGAAGTGTTAAGTTTCCCTTCTTGATGTGCATATCATATTGCTCTGTACATAAATACATTGAGTTCTCTTCATGGATCTATCTTTTTAATATTTTATATTAAAAAGACTTGCCTAGATTATCCTTACCACTTATGGATTTGAGATATATATATATATATATATATATATATATATATATATATATATATATATATATATATATATATATATATAAACAAATAGCACTCGAAATACTTAACATTACTAGAATTTAACGTATTTCAGGACGAACAGAATATTTGCCAAGAAAATGCCCAGTAGACAATTAGTGTTAATAATTAATGAAACTCCAATCGTCTTATCTTTCAATATATCTATTTACCTGACTGTTTGATCCTGATGAAACTCGGAAGTCGGACGATTTTATTGATTAATATATATATATATATATATATATATATATATATATATAAGGGAGCGTTGAAGTCAACACTCACTCAGAGACGACTATTTATATATACGTATATATAATAATCGTCGAGAAAAAAAAACAATGTGGCCTGATGATTGCGTTTAACATGAAACAGTCTCGCCTCTGAGTGTTGACTTAAATGTTTACTTTTATATTTACATTCTCTCTCTCTCTTTCTCTCTCTCTCTCTCTCTCTCTCTCTCTGATATTGAGCACTTTATCCCATAAATATAGCATGTCTTAAAACTGTATTTCTTATATAAAATCATCATTGCATTATGACTGACAGTTTCACACCTTAAAGGATCATCAAACTATATTGATTCCTACGCCCACAGTGATTGTATATAGAAACACCCTTCTTCGAAGTCGAACGCTCTTTTCCTACAAATATAGCACATGTTAAGCATGATAAAAATATAGTTTTATGATATGTTGCATGTATGGGTTAAAGTGCACAATATCAAGGATAAAGCATACGCAAATATAAAAGTGGATATTGAGGGCAAACAGTCTGTCGCTGCTGGGTTTGACTTCAGTGTACATATATAACTGATTTGAAGACATATATTATATTTATAAAATATATATAAAAATAAAATAATTGTCGGATGTTAATGAATTTTTCAGAAACTATTCACAGATGATCGAAATTATAAATATGTTTTCTTTTATTTTTAAAGTTATTAAAGAAATGTTTTTTTATATTTATTACCTCCCCCACCATAACTAATTTTATAAAAAACGCTAGAAATTCTATCAGATGATCAGGTTTAGTGATTACAATAGTTAAAAGCACAAGGCTTTGAGGAATGCAAATAATGTTTTTTTTTCGTTTTAATTGGACCCCCCTACCTGAAAATCAGCTCTGAATTTTAACATTTAAAACTCAATAAAACAAAGATATTATTTAATTTCAAATGCTTTTATTTGCTTTTAGTTGTTTTTATGAATATGGACAATATTTTCTGAAAGCAAAAAAATTTTCAATGAAAAACGAATTCTCAATTATTTGTTATTTCTTTAATTATAATAGATTTTTACATTAATTTTTAAAATATTATAAAATTAGTTAAAAGCCGCATCGGGTTTCCTAAGTCTCCTTTTTTAGCGCGTTGTAAATTGTATTATTTTGACTAATCAGAAGATCCGAAGTAATTAAAAAATGTAATTTTGTGTTTATAATCGGGCTGTAATTATAATGTACGGAAGACCAACCAGAATATAATTAAGTTGCGTTATTTGAGTTAAGCATTGTTCTCCGCTGTTAAGGCCTTTATTTTTGCGAAACATGTGTGGAGAAGTTAATTTGATTTTTCAATTTCAACTGAGAAGGGTACCTACAAGTATCAGTATCATCTTGACATTTATATGATCATATTTTTATATTAATCTCAGTTATGACATTTTCCATAAATGAAATATCAAAATTAATAATAAAATGAATGCAAATACAAATAACACAGTAAAATGTAATAAATGTACATAGAATTATAGTATTTTATGTACAATTCTGAAAAAATTTCATAAGAAAATTACCTATAAATTAATTAGATACCTTTCTTATGAAATTTAATCTTATTTTAATTTCTTTATAATATATTTTCCATAAAGCATCGTAAATGTAAAAGCTAAGTACAAAAAAAGAAAAAATTAGAGCGCTGAAAGTTTTGCTTAAAAATAACAAGGTAAATAATTTGTTCACTTAAAGGTAAATAATTTCACTTTTCTCCTTTCGCAAAACAAATTATCCTCAAGGAATCCGTGAATATGTCATTCATCACTTGTTAAGTGACGAAAAACTTTATGACCTGCTTTGTTTTATTTTCAAATTACATCTTTTCGGCGCAGAAACTAAGTTAATCTTGGTTCAAAATATTTAAAATAAACGTTATAATTTCTGATTTTCTTAAAATAAGTTTTGAAAAAATGATAATTGATATTTAAAAAGAATTTCAAAGTGAGATTTCCATTTTTTTTATAAATGGAAAAACATGGTTGTCATCTGTCAATTTTGCTGACTCAAAAAAAAAAAAAAAATTTAAAAATTTCGGACGTGCTAGGAACGATTAAAAATGTAAAAAAAATACCCCCAAAATACTTTGATTTTTCCTCTTAATAATAACAAACATTTAGACGATAAAATTTTTTTTTTCGTCAAGTTTGGCTTCTTTTTTTCATCATGCTATGCTTTTTTTTTTTTTTTTAGCGATCTTGTGGAAGTATTTACCAAAGCTGCATGTCCAAGGGCCAGATGAAGAGCAGATTTTCAATTCTGGGATCATGCTGATTCCAAAAGAAATGTCTCAGTAGAGCAAGTGTATTCGAGTTAGAGTCACAGTCACACAGACGGACAGAGAGAATTTATCATTTATTTATTTAGATGAGATTAGAAGTCAGTTATGTCAAGTTCGTCACGCCTTTCGTTTACTTGGTCTCAAAAATTTCCAACACCGTTGACCTCCGCATGGACGTCAACAGTAGACGTAGGCTAGCTGAATAATAAGGAATTGAAAATAGATTGTAAGGGAAACTGTTTTTTTTTTTTTTTTAATGATTTCACTCAATAAGTCAATAATGCAAGGAGTTATTCAACGTGAAAGAGAATGAAAAGAATTTAGTGAGGAGAAAAGACAATAAAAGACAAGTTTCAGAAAAACGGCGATCAACGTTTTTTTGACATTCGGTGGCCGTTAATAACACAAGACTTCCATATTAAGATAAAAATAATATTTAATTACAACCGCAAATAAATACTTAACAAGAATAAAAAAGTAAAAGTCCACCAAAGATAATTAACCATTTCAGTGAATACCTTGTTAGTAGCGCGGCTCGGTTTAACGTGCTGTTGTGGTTGATGGATAGTGGTAATAGGCCTACAATGTCGATATGCACTGTTTAAATAAAGTCGATGGCGGTAAGAGTGGAACCACCATTGACTTACTATGATGATTCACTTTACTTTGTTGGCAGAACTCTTTTGCCTATAAACGTATTTTTTGTCTATGTCTGGCCATAAATA